TGTGTGTGTGTGTGTGTGTGAGAGAGAGAGAGAGAGAGAGAGAGAGAGAGAGAGAGAGAGAGAGAAAGAGAGAGAGAGAGAAAGAGAGAGACACGTTTGTTCTAAACTGCTGCTCTCAGCACATTAGTGGCTTTTTCACCACGAAGCTCAGAGTAAAGGAAATGTAATGTAACAGCACTATAGTGGCCAACAAGTTGGAAATCAGAAAATAAAATTCTCCCAGATGAAGCTGCTTATCACAGGGCCAGGACAGCTCAACCACAGGGTATTTCTTTTAAAAAGTTCTCCTTCCTTCTTCCTCTTTTTCTGTTCTCCCCTGTCTTCCTCCTCCTTCCTTCCTTTTGACAATTGCTGACTAGACATTATGTATGTGCTGCCTTATTTAATCCACAGGAGAAGCCCTCCTTGGACCCATTACCGTCTTGATCTTACAAATGAAGCAACTGTGATTCAAAATGATGATGAGATGCATTCACCATCATAGAGCCAGTGAGAGGAAGGTTCTCAGAATGGAAAGGCTATTTGCCCTAAATGAGGAAACTGAACTTGGAGCCACAGGACCTGAACCTAAGTTTGCCAATAATATCCCCTATTCTGGAACACAGGATATGCTGCTACCCAACACAGGAGTTACTGGACAGGTGAGTGAGGGGCAATATGCTTACCACAGAGGTAGGACATAGGGATGCCCAAGAAACTTCTTGTTTCCCCTCCATACCCCATCAGAGACCGTGACCAATAGTGTGACTGTCCCTCTCCTGGGTCACTTACCCTGCTCATTATACTTGCACCTGTGGCCCCATCCTGTCCCCATTGGCCGGAGCTTTCTGACTGGGACCTGCAGGTATCCATGGAGGTATCCGTGGGCTTATAGAGACAGTTGGCATTTACACACTGAGACATCTGGGCTCTGGCCCCAGCTTTGCCAGTGATTTGCTGTGCGGTCTATCTCTGGACCTCAGCTCTATCACCTACATCAGAGTTCATCAAACCATGGCCTGGAAGTCAAGTCTGACCCATCACTTGTTTTTGTCCATAAAGTTGTACTGAAACACAGCTACGTCCATTCGTTTCCATATTGTCTAGGCCGATGGTCGGCAAACTGCGGCTTGCGAGCCACATGCGGCTCTTTGGCCCCTTGAGTATGGCTCTTCCTAAGCCTTAGGAGTACCCTAATTAAGTTAATAACAATGTACCTACCTATATAGTTTAAGTTTAAAAAATATGGCTCTCAAAAGAAATTTCAATCGTTGTACTGTTGATATTTGGCTCTATTGACTAATGAGTTTGCTGACCACTGGTCTCGGCTGTTTCCATGATGCATCTGAAAGGACTGCACCTTGGATGTTGAACCGAAGGATGTCTCAGAATCTCCCAGCCACTAACCTTGCCACCCTCAGGTCCACCTTCTGTTCCAGACTCTAGAGAAATTTATCCAAAACACAGATCTAACTCTGTCCCTTTCTTACCTAAACACTTCTAACAGTGGGCATGGGGCTTAACTGAAAATAGGCACAAGGGATATTATTGGGATGGTGGAAATGTTTTAAAACTGGTTTGTGGTGATAATTGCACAACTCAGTGGCTTTACTAAACATCATTGAATTGCACAATTAAAATAAGTGGGTTCTATAATATGTGAATTGTACCTCAAGAGTGTTGTTTATAAAAAAATCTTTCCACAGTCCCAGGTCAGGATGACCTGGAGCTCCGTGGGCTAGGGCTGGCATGCACGCTGTGTCTCAGTCCCCAGTGGGATGAGCAGGGAAAGTGAGAGAGGTGTTTAGGAACTGTGACAGCAATGTGGCACGGCTGTGACATTTTTACTGCCATTTGTAAAACTATAGGTCCACACTGAGTTGGGGAGGGGACTGGTCTTTCACCAGAGAGTGTGTGAGAAGCACTGCTCTAGAGCAGTGAATACAGGTAACGTCCTTGGCCTGGCATTAGGGGCCCACACGACCTCCTTGCCCCTGCAGGCTCCATGCCCTGTATGTCTCCTTTGCAACCTCCCCCTTAGTCCACTTAGATGTCCAAACTCTGCCAAAATCTCTCACCCACTTCCTGAGCCCATGGCTTGCCCTATCCCTAACAACTCAAATGCCTTTCTCTTCCTTCTTCAATAATCACTTATTCACCCTTCCAGACTCGGCCTCAATGTCATCTCCTCTTAGAAGCCATCCTAACTGTCTTTCCCCCCTCAACACCCTCTTCTCCTGGGGTGATCTCTGACTAGTTACCTCCTCTCTCTGAACCTCAACCTCTTCATCTGTAAAACAGGGAAAATCATAGCATTCTTCTCATTGGATAACACTGTCTCCCTCATCAATTCTTGTACAATAGGCTTCAATGTCTATGTTCCTGCAGCATTGTGGGAACTCAAATGCATCTGGCTGTGTTGTCATCATTTATCCATCGGTCTCCTCCTCCAGGGCCTGCTAGAAGGAGAAGCTCAGTAAACATGAGTGGAGCCAGTGAGCGAATGAAGTCCTCTCTCCACTGCACAACTCCAGGCAGGCAAGAGGTGGGTGGGCTTATGGTTAACTTAAAAAAGAAGCCGAGCCATGGAAAAGCCCCTACCTGGTAGAAATGTGGCCAGAAGGTGCTGATGGCCAGCTCTGCCTTCACCCAGCCCTCGGTGACGACGCCGGACACGTTCCAGACGGGGTTCCCCTGGGGCCCGCCGTTCACCTTCACATAGACATTCAAGGCGCCCGGGCTGGACCTGTCGCGGCTGGAGAAGTAGTAATGGAAATCGATGCAGTGCGTGTCATTCTCCTTCAAGGTGGGCAGGAGGAGGTGGGCCTTCTGGCCGGAGGCCCTCCCGGAGCTGTTCACCATCATGAAGGAGCCTGGAGACCCGCCAAGGGGGCAGGAAGGAGACAGGGAGAGAAAGAAAAGCCTCCTGAAAATCGGTCACACCCCTTAACACGGCAGCCAGAAATGGGGTCACTCCAGCAGGGACTGGTTGAGCCTGAGGAAACCACATCTCCTCTCTCAACCTCAGTGCCCTCTTCTGTAATTGGGAATAACAACCCTACTCAACAAGGTGGTTTTAAAAACGAAGAGCTAGTAACATGTACAACGTATTTCTACAAAGTGGATGCTCTGAACACTTACGGAAGAGACATTACATCCAGCACCTCCTGCAGGAAGCATGGCATAAAACCCCAGGAATTTAGTTAACAGCAACCTCCACGGGTAAAATGGGGTGACATATAACCTCACGTAAGCGTTGGCTGTCTCAGTGGAAACAACCTTGGCAATGCGGAAGGTGTCATTGTTCCAACATAGGCCACCGGAGCCTTGCGTTCAGGGCAGGGCACAGCAGAGGAGGGCGTATAAAGCACACGCTGATCCCACTCAGCAAGGACGACCCGGAGGAAACATGGAGAACCGCTGGGAGGTGCTCGGCCTGGGAAGGGGGGCAAGGAATACTAAGCACGTAAGGAGTCCCAGTGGGATGCTAGGTGTCTTATTTATACATCATTCAATTTAATCTCCAGAATGGCCCTGGGGGGCGGGGATTCTCCTGTTATTTAAAGACTGAGTGGCCTGCCCTGGGCCACGCAGACAGGGAGCGATGAGACCCAGATTCGCTCCAGCCTCAAAGTGTATGCTCTCATTACTACTGGCAGCAAACAGAACTAGTCTTTTCAGGACTTAAAAGGCTATTTCCTAGGAAGGAAGGGAGCCTCTTTGGAGTTGCTCTGACAGGTTAAAGGGCTGTTTCCAGTTCTTCACCTCTTCCTGGATTTGTGTCCTTAGCCTCTTGCTTCTCAGAAGAGGCGGAGGGCGTGTCCCCATCCTGTGACTTTGGACTACACTTGCTTTGGTCCAACGATGCTAACAGAACAATCCAAGGGGAGGCTTGCCCTCTTGCACAAATGCCACCTTTCCTGGGAAGAATGCCCCCCTGGTGGCTGCTGCCCCTCAGGTTGGGAGGAGAACAGAGTCACGTGGAGGAGTACTGAGCAGAGGCGGCAGCGAAGAACCAAGCCATGCCACCCCCGCAAGAAGCACAGCCACGCGGCCCACAAGTCCAACCTAGATCAGCAGAACCACACTCGATGCTCGGACCATGAGCGTGAGAGCAAGTGCTCATTGTTGTTAACCCTGGGTTCCCTCTCGGTACTTAAGGCAACATTATTGTGGCAACAGCTCCTTGATGCAGGTGCCTGAGAGGGCAGACTTCTGAAAGGAACCACCAGGAGGCACACTTCAGTGCAAAAGGACCTTCTAAGGCAGCGGTTCTCAACCTGTGGGTCGTGACCCCTTTGAGGGTCGAACGACCCTTTCACAGGGGTCGCCTAAGACCATCGGAAAACACATATATAATCACATATTGTTTTTGTGATTAATCACTATGCTTAATTATGTTCAATTTGTAACAATGAAATTGGGGGTCACCACAACATGAGGAACTGTATTAAAGGGTCGTGGCATTAGGAAGGTTGAGAACCACTGCTCTATGGAGTCGTGGGCTCTGCAGCTGAATTCTAGCCAGTGGGGCCAGGCCTCCACCCTCCCTGACCCCCACTGCTCCATCCTCTCTTATCTTGTCTCTCAAAAGATGGTCCTTGGAGCAGCAGCCCAGCACCCCTGGGAGCATGTAAGAAAAGCAGGACCTTGGGTCCCATCCCAGGCCTACAGAATCCAAGTCTGCATTTGTCAGTATCCTCAGCTGGTTTGTAGGAGGCACATGAAAGTATGAGCATCACCGCTCTATTGTCTTTCCCACCCACCAGCTGCAAAAGCACAGGAACCCAGGAGCCTAAGTGACAGCAGAGCTGCAACCAAAGGAGCCTGGTCCCTGAATGGCCATGAGAAAGCCCACCCACCTACTGAGAACACTCATTTCAGGCCTTTAGTAAACAGGGAATCAACTATGACTGGGTTATTAAGCCATTCAAATTCTGTCATTTATTTTTGCAGCTAGCATTCTCGTTATTGGCACCACCCATGGAGTCCCTACTTTGTACAAGTTCCTTTATTTAGGAAGATGAGATGAGTAATGACAGCTACCAAGCAAAGCTATAAGACACCCCAAATAGGAACATCATTACAAGCAGCATCCTGGGTAAAAAGCAGAAAGAGAGGAGAGAATGGAAAGACTGGGCTCTGAGGATGAATCCTGGAGAAGGAAAGGCATACCCTGGACATTCATTAAGAGAATTTGTGTCGCCGAAACCGGTTTGGCTCAGTGGATAGAGCATCAGCCTGCGGACTGAAGGGTCCCAGGTTCGATTCCGGTCAAGGGCATGTACCTGGGTTGCGGGCACATCCCCGGTAGGAGATGTGCAGGAGGCAGCTGATCGATGTTTCTCTCTCATCGATGTTTCTCTCTCATCGATGTTTCTAACTCTCTATCCCTCTCCCTTCCTCTCTGTAAAAAATCAATAAAATATATTCTCTCTCTCTCTCAATTTGTGTCTTAGATGGGCCAGCGTTGGGTTGGGTCAGGGACGCTTACCATGTTCCCCATCAGCACCCTGGCCCATGATGTCAATTTGTGTAACTTAATGTGCATGCTCTGGCCCTCAGACTAGACAGAAAGGTACGTGTTTTGGTGCGAGGCTCAGAGAAATAGGCTTCTCTCAGGCCACCCTCCATGTTAACCAGATGTTTGATCTGAAGTAGAAACTTGCCCTGTGGTTTGGCCACTCAATACCTGAACTCCCTTCCTGTGTTCGGGGCGCCTCACCAACGTTTGAAGCATGGCCCACGTTCCTCTATCTAAAAGAAAAAGCCGATGCCCACATTCCCAGTCTCCTCGGTCACTAAGACTTGGGCACACGATCTGGGCGCCACCAAGAGGTGCACCCAATCCCAGTGTCTGAACCGGAAGCTAGGAACTAAGTGGACCAGGGCTCAGTGAACCACAGGCTGTGTCGAGAGGGCAGCAGCCAGGAGGAAGGTGCCTCCAGCTGCAGAGGCAGCGATCCCAGTGACTGAGCAGGAAATCCAGTCTTGACACAGAGGCAGGGTGATGAACTCAGCCAGGTGGGTCGGCATCTTCCAGGACTGAGCTAAGCTGAGCTGGGATTTGAACAACAAAAACCTCACCGGCTCATGAGCACATTATGAACCCTGACAGTGGAATCTTATCTGTACCTGCTGGAACTCCAGCTCCTAGCAATACTCCCTATATATCCCCCCAAATCCCCAAGGCACCTTAATGATGGCAACCCCCTGTCCCCGCTGCACGTCCAGGCACAGATCCCTCATCTGCCTTTGCCACCAGTTGTGGTGCCTCAATGACTGGACAGGTCCTCATTAGTGTCTCTTTGCTCTGGGACACACTCGGGGGACACACAGCAGCACTGCTTTAGCCCCGAAATCAACAGGGTTCAAGAGACAGCTCTTTCTGCACACCCCCGTGCCTTCTTTTCCTCCTCCATGCAGATGCACACTCACCTAGCACCAGTTCAGCTCTCACTTCCACTTGGCATCATCCTTTGGGATGGATTTTCTCTCTGTCCATGGCCCTACAGTCAGTCCCTACAACAGGCCCCTCCAGTCTGCAGGACACATGATCCTAACTGCACAGGGTTCACATTTTTCTCTCCTAACGCCCCTTCCCCAGGAATATCCTCAGCCACACCAGGTTAGTATACATCCACAAATATAAATAGAAACTAGGGGGTATATCGCTAAACTCCACACATCAGAGCGTGTGAGCCTGTCCTCTTCCGCAGTCGGGATCCCTCCCATGGAGGTGTGCCTGGTGATGATTTGGGAGAGCATGTCAAATAGAGGGAACAACGCATGCAAATGTACAGGGGCAGGAAGTCACAGCATCCAGCAAGGCAAGCACGGAGTCCTAGGGGAGGGTGGCATCCAGCCAACTCTACAGAGGTGTGGCCACGCCCCCCCAAAAGAAGGGAGCCGGACCTGAGAGCTGAGCACAGACCTGCCGCTTTACAGCCTGTTCGGGAGTGAAGCCCTCAGGCATCAGCGGCTCAGTGGGGCCCGCTTTCATCAACAGGTTGGCTTAATTACTATGATCCCGAGGCTGCCAGTTTCCTGGAGATCAAAAATGAGCCAGTCATTATGCCGGGATCAGTCAGAAGCAAGAAAGAGGAAGACTGTAAATACATTCTCTCTCTCTCTCTCTCTCTCTCTCTCTCTCTCTCTCTCTCTCTCTCTCACACACACACACACACACACACACACACACACATCCACTGACGTGATAAGGGACATAAAACAGCATTAGTTTCCTCATAGTTATTATACATAGCACCGAAAACTGTGAAATTAAACCAGGAAGTGCTCTCCGGCTGGCCATAAATTTTGCATTTTTCCCCCTTCGTGCATAATAACGCCTTGATAAGCGCCCCATTATTGATGTGTCTGCAGCATAGATCCCCCTTTTGGAGGCAAAATGCTTCTCCGTAGCAGATGGCGGCTATTGTGTTTACACATGAGCACCTCACGATTGCATTTCCTCACGTTGGCAGTAAAAAGAAAGCCCAAATTGAGTTTTTAATGGCTTTGCACATTGTTCATTAAGATTACATGAGTGTGCGCAGCGACTGGCAGCTGAGCGCCTGGAGCTCTGAGCGCTCAGAGCGGTCCCTGCAGACAGGTGGTCCCGCCAGCTTCCAGCGCCAGCACCTACGGGAAGGGAGCGGAGGGCTGCGGGGACCAAGTGCTGCCTGAAGCCAAGCAGCTGTGGCGCCATGGAACGAGCCCTCAATTTCCAGTCAGGAAAACTGGGTTTCCGCCCCTCCCTGTCACTTCTTCATTGTATGATCTGAGCAAGTCAGTAAAAGTTTCTGGGCCTCCGTGTTCTCATCTACAGAAGGGGATCATGACAGCTACACGTCAAAGGTTTTTGTTTATCTGT